AAATATAATAGCATCATCTAAATGCAAAACAAAAGGCTAAAAATAATGGAAGCCTTATTAATAAAAACAAAAAACCAACACTTAATAATATTAACTTTGAACATGGACACAATATCTTGATCGCGTTTTGAAAAATGAAAGCATTGTATAAAACATACATACAACAAACCATTTCTTATTTTAACAGTTAAAATATAATCCTTGAAATGGCTAAATGTATAGCCGAAAGCGCTCGGATAAAAAGAACATTCAGATAGTTTTTATATAATTTATCATCCGAAAAGAAAGAAAGAAATATTGGATCGCATGAGAAATTGTATAAAAACTAAATAAAAGCACCTTGTCTGTCGTTTTAATGAAATGTGCATGAAGAAGGATCGCTGCCTAAATACACAAATACACACACACACACTCACAAACACAAACACAAACACACACACGCACACACACACACACACACACACACACACACACATATATATATATATATATATATATATATATATATATATATATATATATATATATATCATCGAGTCTAGAAGAAACCTCAGCAGAATACAGAAAGCACCGGACGGCCGCTTTGTCCTATATTGGGGACTCATCAGCAGTGCGCATCCACTATACCAAGAATTGAAACCCAGACAGTTACGTTATCAGGCAAACCTCATACCAACGGGCTACGGTGACGAAGAGGTAACGAATTAGACTCGATATGGCCCCGCTCGTTCACATATTCCGTAATGGAACTCACTCGAATTTCCCTTACCCATAGGAATGTGCCCCCACTAGCCACGACAACTATCCTCCAAGCCGCTCCAATCAAAGCATTAGAAGCCGGTTCAAGCAATGATATACAAGTGATAGAAATTATTAGGAGGATTTGAGATGATTATTTCTTCTAGACTCGATAAATTACTTAATTATAATTATCTCAAATCTTCTAATTTGCTACCTCCTCGTCGCCGAGGACCGTTGGTAAATTTGGTATGACATTTGCCTGATAACGTAACTATCCGGGTTTCACTTCTCGGCAGTAGATGCTCACTGCTGATGAGTCCCAAATATAGGACTAAACTTTTGCAAAGAATGTCAAACATTTGTGCTGCAATAATCAAGGCAAAAGGTGGATATTTTAACGAGAGTTAAATTTAATCGTAAAATGCTTTTTTTTTCTTATTGTCATAACAAAAGTTCTAATAAAAAATAATGTCTCACTTTGTAAACACTATATATTTATATTTTTTCGAACGGTGATTTTATTGAATAGATAAAATATATAGATACAAGGATGTAATAGATTAATGGAAAGAAAGTTAGGAGATCTCAGAGTAGGGGAAAGTTTAAAAATAATAATTAATATAAGTAAAGAGGTTATAGAGGAGGTATATATATATATATATATATATATATATATATATATATATATATAATAAATTCGCTTGAAGACGAAACAGAACTAATGCTTTTAATTTAATTGTATAATTAAATTTGAAGTTTTAGCTTCAGTTTTTGAAACATAGTTATTACTGTGTAGCGAAGAAACCATATTTTAAATCAGTTAATTTATAATATATATATATATGTGTGTGTGTGTGTGTGTGTGTGTGTGTGTGTGTGTGTGTGACTACTTCCTATTTACTTATTTTTTTATATCATTTTATTGTTTATTTATTTTTGAAGACAAATTCTAAAATTCATTTCGGCATGATACAATGGTTAACAAACTTTTCACTCTCGATCAATTACGAGTGAGAAGTGAGTTCGATCCTCATTCTGTGCTTAAGCCACGTTTAATAAATCACTGAGCCAATGTAGATCGCCGATTGCACAGTGAAAAATTCCCGGTCATGATTCAACTCAGAATTACGTGTCGTCCTGTAGATTTATTGATCTTTAGTATTTTAAGATATTTTTATGTCATTTTGGTAAATATATGTTAAAATGAGATGTCAGTTTTATTTTCATTTTTTACAATTTAGACTACAATTTATCCATCGTACCCTGTATATGTGTATGTTTGTTTGCGTGTCTGAGTCCTGAAAAAGATACAGGTGTGTCCATAACAAATTTTTCAACAGCTACTGACTCTGAAGACAGGCATTGTATCATGGTCGAAGCATTATTTTCAGTGAAAGGGTGACCGACTAATACTCCATTATTTTTTCGTTTTTGTGTTTTTTTTGCTTTTCAGTCTTTCTGAAAATTAGATTTTCTGAACTTACCTACTTTGATTTATTATTTGAATCGCACCAGTATTTTCATTTTCACTGAGTATAAAGTGACGGTTAGACAGATATATGCTTTGTAGTTCGTGAGATATATAGTGTACATTGGAATTAATGTCTACAGTGAAACCCCCTACTCTACCCAGTGATCGTATTAGAAGACATCAGGATATCATCTTCGAATAATCTTTGATATGCGTCTCTTTGATTTCCTTGAAGTCTTTTCATATCCGTCGTCAAATTGAATTGGTTTCTTCCAATCTCGTTTGTACTCTCGCCATCACGAGACTTTACAAAACCCGTTAAAGAACTTGTTAAATGATAAGAGAAAGATCAGGATACTTCTAAAGACTTCCGCATGCAATCACTATATCACTGATTCAGTAACTACCCAAAGTGAATGAAACCTTAATTCAAACATATACTGGGTACGAGAATAGATCCATAAATCTACAGGACGACACGTAATTCTGAGTTGAATCATGACCGGGAATTTTTCACTGTGCAATCGGCGATCTACATTGGCCCAGTGATTTATTAAACGTGGCTTAAGCACAGAGTGAGGATCGAACTCACTTCTCACTCGTAATTGATCGGGAGTGAAAAGTTTGTTAACCATTGTATCATGCCGAAATGGTTGTGTATATGTGTATGTGCAGATTTGGCAATAAAGAAAATATAATATAAAAGACCGGGGTGGATAAGACAGACGACAGATATCTTCGTCTGCCGAAATATGCTTATTCCCCATATAAGGTGATTTTGAATTTGAGTGTTTATCAATTAGTTGCTCTGTAATAATAAATACATTGAGCTCTTTTTGTGGATCAGTTGTAATATTTTATATTACGAAGATCCATTTGGATTATATAACAACGGATTTGTTACCTTTTATCATATATATATATATATATATATATATATATATATATATATATATATATATATATATATATATAGGATAGCTCAACTTGCAGATATGTCAGGACAAATCGGTACCTGAGGAAAAAATTGAAAAAAAAAAAAAAATGAAACAAGACAAAACAAATCGCCAAGTCGTTTAAGTCCGTAGTCCCCCCAAAAAAAAACAAAAAACAAACGCGTAGAAAGACTAAAACGTAGACTACTCAATACGCTAAGTAGAGCGATAAACTAGTATATATATATATATATATATATATATATATATATATATATATATATATATATATATATATATATATATTCTCACATGCAGATTGTCTGAGGTAATTATGCATATCATGCAAGCCTCAATACTCAGTTTTGGTTTTAAATATTTTTTATCAAATATTAGACAATTAATTAAAACGATAAAATAAGCTTCAGTTAAATTTTTAGTAATTTTCAACCTTTATTTAAATTATTGAATTTATTATACAAATTACATTCTGAAGTTATACCAAACCAGAAAATCATTTTTACTTCAGTAACAAATCAATAAATTTATCATCAAGTAATCAACTCTTGTAATAGAAAAAATAAGAAAAACTTTTTGGAAACATTTACTACTTAATATAGTGAGTCTTTTTCTCAAGAACAGCCAGCGAAATATTATGTATTGATTCCATTATTTTTTTTTTCTATTTCATTAGGCTCAATTTCTGGAATATTGTGTTAATCGCTTCCCATAGTCCAGCTTTACAGTCATATTGTTTGCCACCTTCATATGCAATGTGATACAGTCACTACAGTCACTTTCTCACAAACGTGATGTAGCTTCCCTCTGCCTTTTCTACAAATAAATTCATGTCAAATTCTCTGACGAGTCACTTTTACTGGTACCTCAACTACATGAATTTAAGCGTGCTACTGGGTTGGCATGTCGGTCCCACCTTTTTACTGTCGAAACAGTTAAATGTAACCGCCTCTTCTATTCCAACAGCTTCTTCTCTCGCACTTCTCAACAGTGGAACTTCCTTCCTCCTACTTGCTTCCATGATAGCTATAAGTCATTGTTTTGCTATAACTCGCTTTAGTTGACGTTCCCTCCGTGGAGATAAGTTTCTAAAGGCTTTTCCTTTGCTTCTCGTGCTAAATTTCGTTATATTTCCAAAAGCGCTCTTTATCGTTCCATGATCTCTGTGAATCTCATTTGAAACATTTAAAGTGGACATCCCTTCATTGAATAATTTTGTTTTATCCTTACACATTTTTCGAAATATATTGTGGAAAAAAAATAAAAACAATAGTTTATATTAGATTTAAGAGCCCTGAAACATAAATTAATTTAATCTGCATAAAAAGTTCAAACTGCAGTTTTAATAATAAACAATAATATAATATTTTTAAAAAAAATAGCTCAAGTTTAGTTTCGGCGTCTCATTTAAAATTTGACGAAAATTGTTCAAAATAAATTCAAGTTATTAAGGTTTATGTAATTTGCATAATAACTTCAGACAGACTGTATATGTGTTTCACTGTATAGTATAGACATATTAGGTCTACTTATTTTTTTATACTGATCCTTTCTAGTTTCTTGATGGAAAGCTAAAATTCATCAAGGAAGGCCCCGTTGTTTTTTTTTTTTTTAACCCAAGTATTTCCAAGATCATCTTCAATGGTAAATTACAATGGAATGCAGATTTTATCTCAGTTACAATAAGCTCAGCTTTGTAATTTACCCCTGAAGAGGATCTTGGAAAAGATCGAATGTACGTGGGTTAGAATAACAATGGCATCTGAATTTTATCTTAACATCAAGAAACTGATTAGACAAGTAGAAAGGATCAATATGTCAATATTCAATGGAAGAGGTTTGAATGAAAATATACTGTCTAAATCTATCTATCTATCTATCTATCTATCTATCTATCTATCTATCTATCTATCTATCTATATATATATACATACTTCATTTTAGGATATTACATGGAAAACATGTCAAGATTGCTACACAATTGCACTCATGTTTCAATACGCATCATGCCATGAGTATAAAAGGTGGACTCTGGTGTTGAACAAAAAATTGCCTAATATATATATATATATATATATATATAGGCAAATATAATATATTAATATATATATATATATAATATAATTAATATATATAATATATATATATAATATAATATATATATATAATATAATATATATATATATAATATAATATATATATAATATAATTAATATATATATAATATAATATATATATAATATAATAATATATATATATATATATAATTAATATATATATATATAATATTTAATATATATATATATATATATATATATATATATATATATATATATATATATATATATATATATATATATATATATATATATATATATATATATATATATATACACTTCATTTTAGGATATTATATGGAAAACATGTCAAGATTGCTACACAATTGCACTCATGTTTCAATACGCATCATGCCATGAGTATAACAGGTGGACTCTGTGGGTATTGAACAAAAACAAATTTGCCTAATATATATATATATATATATATATATATATAGCGTGATTAACAGCCTGAGCAAAGGCCAGCACGCTCAAACGGTATATTTTATCAAATTTATCAAGCCAGATTCAAATGGAGCAAATGGAGCATGTACAATTACACATAAATGCAAGTATTGTGGAAATTTTTAAGCGAACTAATTAGCCGGTGTGACACTGTAAATTAACCGTTTTTGTTTTCATTTTAAATACTTCTTTTTTCGCTTGTACTTATTTTCTGGAATGATACGTATAGACTTTTATTTCACATATATGACTTATATAAAAATCTTAATATCTAATCCATAGTTCGGCCAAAACTTCTACCAGGTCTTTTGAACAAGTAGATGCTTTCCCTTATTTCGTGTTTAGGAGTATGTTTCCGGTTCCTTCTAAATTCTACATCAGCCCTATACTTCTAAAGTCTCCGATTAAGCAATATAATTTATACTACTAGAATTTTTTTTTAAACACCCTGACTTGTGTTAAAATCCTCTCAGTATTTAGTATTGTTGAATTTATTGCGAACATATTTGCCAAGATTTAAAATCTCTACTTTTCGTTCAATTTCGCAAAACAATTGAATTTGAATAAGCTGATTTGTTTGAAAAAATACTTCGAGGAAAAAACCTACTTCGCGGTTTTTACTTACCCTAGTAAAACCAACTGTACTTACCTGTTTGCACTTATCTCCAAAATTTGTTTACCATCTGTATGGCTATTTTAGAAGGTGGGACGGACGGACTAACGGAAGTCAAAGAATTTTATTTATAGAATATCTTGTTTCCACTTCCTTTTAATATCCTTTCTTTCTCTTTCACTTCCATTCGCCCACTTGCGTTTTAGTGGCGTTATCGCCTTGCTTGGGCCGAATTGATCTTAAAAAGCCGGAATAAAATACGAGAAAAAATAAGGTTTTATTATTTAATTTAAAACGTAATGGCGTTAATGATTTTAAACATTTGATACAACTCAGATACTTGATTTGTTATAGATTGAAGCCAAGAAGAAATTCTCCTTTTCTGTTTAATTCCCAGATTTAGAAATAGTTGGGGCGGGTCGAAGCGTCACTCGGTACCGTCTTATATCACCGTTGATGCAAAAGGAAACTAAGCCCCCTCCCCAATCAATAATCTACCAAGAGATTAAAGCAGATAAATCAATTCCAAATATTGATTTGATCAGAGGTTAATCCAACAGCTACATGTTCAAATGCAGAATGATGAGAACTTTAGAAAACAATTAGAAAATACAAGTTTTTGAAAGGGCATTTTTAAGCTTCCTCGAAATGAAATTGAATTAAACTATAGTACTTTATTTAATGAAATCAAAAACTCAAGCCATTTCCACAGGAAAAAAAAGAAAAGTAAAAGTCTAATATATATATATATATATATATATATATATATATATATATATATATATATATATATATATATATCTTTATGCATTAGACATCCGACAATCATTTTTCTCTTACTTAAACCCCTTCCCCCCACCTCTCTAATAAATATTCTCTGTTATGGTTTAATCTCCCTCCCCTCATACTTACACTCTCTCTAAATTCTGTTTTTATTTCCGGAGTTGTTTTTTCTGTTTTCTTTTTTTGAATTTGTAGGTCTGATGAATTGGATCGTATTTACGATTCCAATGGAATAAATTATGACCATGGAATATTAGTGTTTAAGCCTTTTATTATATTTTATATATATATATATATATATATATATATATATATATATATATATATATATATATATATATATATATATATAATTTTTTTTTCAAGTCAAAACCACAATGTCCTTCGTCTCAGGTTACATTTCGCAGTTGTCTGATTTGATTTGGAATGAAATCAAAAAGTACATCACGTCTTTTTTTTCCTTCGTCATTGACTGAAGCCATTTTGCTGACGCGCGGGGAAATTGACGATTAATGGCGTCCATGAATCGAAGAACGATCTCCAGTTTCCCGCGCGCGCCAACGTCCATTGTTATTAGGACGCGTAGTGCCTCGTTTCGCCTGCGTCGCTTTCCCCGTTACTGGCCACGTCCTTCGACTAGCCATGATAACCATTTGTGTTGCATGCCGGCCACTTGTATATTTACTTCTGGCACAAAAAGATAATCTGGCTTCTGGCAGTACTGTAAATAATATTACGTGTCTAGCGGACGTGTACGTTCGCTGAAGTAAACAAATCTGCATTGTCTGGTACACAAAAGCGCATACATCAAGTTATAAAAAAATCCTTCTAAGTCTGTGTGGTAGATTATGTCCTTGTTAAATTCCTGGCGGTCAGTGTTCGAGTCCTGGTAACAAACTGTGTTTTTTTTTTCAAATATTAATTTTCAATTTTCATATTCACAACGTTTCGGTCCTTGTAAGTTCCGGCCTTCTTCTGGTGATCGGAATTTCGTCCACCGAGGTAGATTATTCTAGTTCCACGTGGCATGCCTCTTCCTGATGTCTCAGTTATTTCCCCTTTAACTCCCTCTCCAAGTTTTAAACCCGAAGAGTTGTGAGTTCAATACCAGGCCACAGCAGTGGTGAAACAAATCTCGGAGAGTTGAGTTAAAGGGAAATAACTGAGACACCCGTAAGAGGCATGGCACGTGGAACTAGACCAATCTACCCCGGTGGACGAAATAAAGGGTTCGGAATTCCAATCACCTGAAGAAGGACGGAGCGTACAACGGCCGAAACATTGTGAATCTGGCAATGAAGATGACGATAAGAGTGAATAGTGTAAATAATGCAAGTAATCATAATACCTCATCTCAGAGATATAGAGGTCGAAATGTTGTGAATATGGCAATGACGATGAGGATAGGTGTCCAAATAATGTAAATAATACAAGTAATCATAATACCTCAACTCAGATATATAGTCAGATATTAGTTTTCAAAATTATTTAAGAAATTGAAAATTCAGGCAGGCATCCTTCAAATTGAAATTAGGTATAACAAAATTTATGCTATGCTCATTGAACATGACGGAATGCAAAGCGAATGATATCTGGAGTACTTGCAAAGAATGACGACCTTGTCTACACTAATTTTAAAACTTCGTCTCTCTTTTCACTATGAGTAGAACGTCTGCTCATAGGAGCAGGGCTTGCAAAGTGGGTCGCAAGGCCTAGCGTTGAGGCGTACGCATTGTCACACCGATCTACGCTATTCACTATTATTGTATTATTAATCGATTTCTCTCGTGGAATTAAACTTTTCTTACACTAAACTTTGTTCCAGTGTTCCAGTATTATTAACTAGAAACTACTAGCTTATACGAGCATTACAACAGCACCCCGCTGTAATAGCCGTGTGTCAAACAAGGATAAATCTCGCGGATTTTTGCTCTTCAGCACGATTCTTATTTGACGATATATTACAAAGGCCAGACAAAACTAAGCCTCGAGGATCGTATCTAGTAACCTCGATTCTCACCGAGTACTTAAATATAATAACCTCGCTGTTTACCATGTTCACCATAGTCTATGAATATAGAATACAGCGCAGTACGTAATCTGTTCAATGAAATAACGTTAACGATTAACACTCACGAGTCAGACACTCTACTGAATCTGACTATATCGCCAATACCACCAGCAGCTGTTCCGTAATTATTCAGTCTTCGATATCAAAGGCTGGCTGTCAGTGAATATTCGGGAAAAAACATGGCTGCCTTTATACACGTCGCATTGAATATTTTGATTGGTTAAGCCTTCTATTGGTGAACTATAAAATGAGTCAGCTCATTTTGGCTGGCTCACTAATACACCAGGGTACCCAAAAATTCCAACACTCGTGTCAAACATTGATACACCTCGAGGATTTTTGCTATTTTACACGATTATTACTTGGCAATATATTAAAATGGCCTTGTGGCAGACGAAGCTAAGCCACGTGGATAGTATCTAGTGGCCTCAATTCTCACTGTGCGTCCTACTATAACTGCCTTGTGTCAGATAATGATAGATCTCTCGGATTTTAGCTGTTGAGCACGAATGTGACTTAGCGGTGTAATATAACGGCCTTGTGGCAGACAAAGACAAACCTATCGGACGATAGTTATTGTCCCCAATTCACCATTGGTGCTATACTATAATAGTCTTGTGTCAGCCTAAGCTCTGTCTCACAGATGATGATTTCTGACTTCAAATCTCTCTGGACGTTGCTACCTTGTGCCAGCCTAAAATAACCCCCACGGACTATGGTTTCTGAGTTCTATCTATTCTGGACGCTTTGATATAATGACCTTGTTTGTGCCAGCCAAAACTAACTCCCAGAGATGACGGTTTCTGAGTTCTATCCATTCTGGGCATTTTACTATAATGTTCTTGTGTCAGACTAAACTAAACCTCACGGATGATGATGTCAGATGTCTATTCACTCTGGAAGCTTTACTATA